ATATTCTTCTTTATACATTTCTAGTATTGTAATACTTTCCAAGTATATGAATGCTAACTTTACTTTATATCCGAATTATATTGTTTATATTGCTAGCTTATCTGGGAGATGCAATGGAACATGTATAGTGTTTGCTTATGCAATTACTCTATGTGATGACGATGATATTAGATTAGTATCTGGTAGTTTAGGCGTAGTGTCTAGATTACAGGATATCATTATTTGGGGTTATATGCTGCAGATGAGAGGTGGGCCGCTGATGGTGACATCTCAGTACGGGTACTCCTCCGCGCGTGTATATAGTCCTAAGTTAATTTCATGGGGAGGGTACTCCTCCGTATTTAGTCCCGGTTGTATGGTCATGAAGGGCAGTCATAAGGAACTCGATAGTCAGGGGTGGCTTCTTGAAGCACCAGGAGGGCATTGGAAAGAGGGTATTAGCTAGTTAATCTTATAGCTAGGATGTATATATAATATGTATACTAGAAGTATATGAATAGATTCTTTTCTATTTTCTTTCCACTTAACTCAGATAATTTATTATGAGAATAAGTAGTCTTATGCTTGTGTGTCACTCTACCCTTTGCTTATATTAACCCACTCTACAAGTAATATATAAATTATTAGTACGGTTCTCTCTGCTATAATCATCCCACGGGATTAAACAAATACGATACCCTTGGAATACTCTCGGGTGAAATGCTACACTGGTATATCCGTGCGCTTGCGGATAAACTCTGTAACCGTAATATACCAGGAGTATTTCGGGCACCATTGCTGTGAATTATATTTCTACTTATGTCGTTAAAAAATACCAACAACCGGCTCGAATTGAGCCGAACTCACTAAGCACCATCACTCCCAAATCAAATTGAAAACCCCAAATCATCCACAAATCATCACCAAAATCGATTGACATCACATAATGAACATACTCAACAACAAAATCATCCACAAATCCACCAAAACATCTAAAGAAAATCTACAGGAGACGTGGGAGGGAGAGGGGCTGGCCCTCGGGCTTCATGCTCCACCATCTGCTTCGTTGCTGGTGGTTAGGGGAGGGCGCTACCACCGCTCGCCGCCTCCCCTCTTGTGCCGCGGCCTCCCCTCCCGCCGGATCCGATGGAGGGGAGGGCACCGCCTACAACCATCGGCGAGGTGCGCCGCCTCCCCTCCCGTCGGATCCGACGGAGGGGGGGGGGGCGCCGCCGCGGCCTGTCGCCCGCCGCCTCCCCTCTTGCACCGCCACTGACGCCTCTGCCGGGCCGCCATGCACAATAGAGAGAAGCAAGAGAGGCGAGAGAGAGAGAGAGAGAGAGAGGGAGAGAGGCAAGAAAGACAGCGAGAGAGAATGAGAGAGATCGAGAGAAAGGAGATATAAGGCTAGCTGGATAGGGAGGCCGATGCTTATGGATAGTTTGGTTAATCAGGTGCTTATGATCAGGTAATTATATACATGATAGTTAAGCAATGTGTATGGTTAGGTAGATGTACCTTGCTGGGGATAGTGTGGTGATGGAAAACGGATCGGAGGCCTCGCCGGGGTCGGTGTGGACATAGACGGATTAGAGCCCGCGGTGCCCCTCAAAGAACTTCTCCCACAGCGGCGCCAAACGGAAAAAAATTCATCATTTGGCAAAGTGTGCTATGATCTTGCTGATTTGATGTGTGGAGAGTGTGATTTTAATTTGTGCATGTATATATAGCCACAAATAAAGCTTGAGTAACAGAAGAGCATGAGACAAGGGTGACACGGGTGGTGACCGCCGCCGGTACGCCACCACCCCCGCCCACCTTCCTCCTCCGCCTCACCGCCGCCCGAGCAGGCCACCAGAAACCACGCGGAAGCCGCAAGGATGGCGGCGGCGGGGCCTCCTTCTCCCCCGAAGTCGCGGGGTCGGAGCCCACGACCCCGGCCAGCTCTTGGGACGGCGTCGTGACAGCCTAGCCGCCGGCGTCGAAGGTGACGAGTTCGGTGGCTGGGTGGACCGGGTGGTGACGGCGAGGCGGCGACGCCGGTCTGGCGCCCTCCCCGCTAGATCTGGCACCCTACCGTCCGGATCCTGCCTCCTCGGTGTGGGAGGCCGGCCCCCCGTGCTGGCGACGACAGCGAGGTGCTGGGGTACGGCGGCGTTGCCGCGAAGCTAGGTCTAGCGCCCCTTGCCAGACCCGGTCTCCTGAGCCGGTGGCGGACGTGGAGTGGACGGTACGACGGTGGAGGCCGGTGAGACAGCAGGACACGACTGTGGAGGTGACGGTGTGAACGTCTGAGGCGAGAGCTTGGCGAGAGGGTGCAACGACGCGACGTCGACAGTGGCCACGCCCATGCGGTGCCTTTGGCGGAAGGAGGAGACAGCGGTGGGGATGGAAGAAGTTCAGGTGTTGGCTGGGATCCGGTCGCGCCGGAGGTGGATCCCCCCTCCCCCCTCCCCTGAGGGCGGATCTGGTGCGGGGAGAGCTCGCGGCAACGGCTTCGGTGGCAACGACGCAGAGCTCGTGGTGACGGTGGCGACAATGGCTGGACGACAACGACAGCGGGTGGCTGGCCAACGGCAGCAACGGCTGATGGCTGCTGTGGCAACGAGGTGCACCCGCGGCAGGAGCGGCTGTCACGGCAGCGACAGCGGCTGGACGGTGGCGATAATGTGGCTGGCCGATGGCAGCAGTGGCTACCGTGGCTGCGGTGGGAGGAGGCATGGCGGACTTGGACTGCTAGCTGGGGGAGTGGCAGACGGCCACACCTGGCTGGCGCGACAGCGATTGGACGGTGGCGACAATGTGGCTGGGGGGGCGCTGGTGCAGTGGTCCCACATGTCGCCAGAGGATGAGCGGTGGTGGAGCATTGGTGCGTCAGCCGTGGACTTGTATGTGGTGAGCGGCGGGTGAAAACCCAGCCCGGCCTTGGCTGGACCGACAACAATGGTTCATTCCCCCTCCTGAGGGTGTTGTCATGCCGTCTCATCCCTTAAGGGTGGTTGCCGGGCGAAAGCCCAGTCTTGGCTCTTTCGAGACCCTGACGGACAGTGGCGGCTGTTTTCCGTCGCTTCTCTCCTTGGAGATGTCGTTTAGGCATCCCCTTGCCAAAACTACTCGAATGATTGGTGCAAGCACGCTTAGGATGGAGTTGGGCTTTGTGTTGGTTGTAAGGGCGTTTTTTGGGCGATCTCGTCTGTGTTCCTTTGTTGGCCTAGCGATAGTCGTTCACGCTTAGCGACGGCCGGTCCGGTGCTAGTCTTCTCCCGGACCTGTGTGTTGGCGCTGTCGATGTGTGGGTAGTGGTATATTTTTTTTCCTTTTTCCTGGTTACGATCTTCAGGGCTGTAATCTTGTAATTTTTTCCTACTCTATCAATAGAACTTTACACCGTCTCTTGCGAGTCGTTCAAAAAAAGAGTAACAGAAGTAGGCTGAGCAGCTTGGACATTTAAATGAACGCAATTCATCTTTCGGACCCAAAATAAAGTGATTAATCACAACTGAACCTCAAAGCAAGGGATCATACAGTCGAATTTGATAAGACCAACTCGTTGAATTTAGAGAGGTATTCAGTCACAGTACCGGTTTAGGTCAACAACAACAATTCATTCATCTTAACACTGCGCAAATGCACATCAAATTCACCAAGAGATTGCTGATTTTAACATAGGCCAGTCATGCCACCCCACCTCAAGTTTCCATGCTAGATACCAATTAGCAGCGTCCCCAACTAAATTTAGTGTAGCCACGGAGACCATAAAACCCTCAGCAATTTGATAGAAGGAGAAATACGTCTCACAATTATCAATCCACACACAAACCCTAGTACCATCAAACTTAGGAAAATCCATTTTAGCAGTCCAATGGCGATGCCCCAAGTTAGCCGTATGCAAAACATCTAATTGAGGATCATGATGAGATACTTGATGCTGGGGTGTACGAGGTGGTGGAGGCTGCGCGGAAGAAGCCGCCGATGACGAGTCTATAGAGTCGGTAAGATCGGTTTCTGACACGGAGTGGATGGGGATGGTTTAGACGCAGCCGCTGTGACCTTCAAGGTGCGAGCCACCTGCATCTACTCTTGCTGTACTTGGCCGAGGGAAGTCATGGAGCGATCTACCTTGGTCTGCACGCGATCCAAGAGCTCGTCCTGCTGCGCCAACTTGAGGTCGATTTGCGCGAGGTGCTTGGCAATGCCGTCCATGCCGTCGACCTTAGCCGCGACAGCTTTCATGGCGTCCATCAAGCGCTCCTCCATGGACTCCATCGCGGCAACCACTTGGCGGACTTGGACACTCTGCTTCGCTAGTGCAGTGGTGGAACGCTGTCGATCACGGCTGAACCCGAGCAGAGGATTACGACGCAATCCAAAGGAAAAACACCAACTCAAGCAAGCGAATTACCAGCACTAACCCACAGACGGTGGAGAAGAACCCCAAGACCGAAAGCGACTGAATACCAACTTGTCACAACCCAACGTTGGTGGCGAGACTCGCTGAAATCAGTAGGACAGAGCAAAACAGATGAGCGAGAGGTAGAGGGAGACATGGGAAGAAGACAGCATATTGGGGAGGTTTTTTTCTTTTCATTTCATAATTAATTTCCACCATATAGCCTGGAGGTTATAAATACATCAAAGTTCACCAACCCTTGTCGGTCCACATGTCATTTTCTACTTTTTCTACTTTATGTTTTCTTTACCGGGAAACGACTCTACGCACTATGCCTCTTCTCTTTTCTCTACTTCATGTTCCTCTTCATGTGTCGTCGCTGCCCTGATGTTCACCGTGCCATCAGACGTGACACCAGCCCATTCCGTGCTACAGACTGCAAAGGAGGATGCCTCAAGCCACGACTGCTCCCATTCCGTGGTGCGCTGGAGAGTCGAGACGAGACGCGACGCGAGCGCCATTGAAGGTACGGTTCTCTTCTTGCATCTTTGCCAAGAGCTCGGACTACCATAGAATTTGGCCCGGGCCCCCCCCCCAAAAAAAAGGCCCAAATACCCTGTTTGGCCCAAGAAGCCCAAAAACAGCTAGGGTTGGAGGGAGTCCAGCCCACCACCACCAGGCGCTGCTCCACGCGACCACGCCGCCATTGTCGTCCACGCCGGCGCCGCGCCGTCCCCGCCGTCGTCCGCGCCGTCCCCACCGTCCAAGCCGCCAAGCCGGGGGCCGCGACGCTGCGACAGCGATTCCTCCAGTCCTCCTCGCCGCCTCGCCGGTTGCGGGTTGCCGGCTTGGTGGCTTGGCGCGGCTTGCCCGCCCGCCTTCTCCAGTTCTCTTGCTTGGCTGCTCCACGTCTCCACTGATCCGGCGCTCCACCATTCAGCCCAGGTAACGAACAGATCAACAAAACACTAGAACGGCTGCCTAAATCGATGTGTGATTAGAGATCAGTGAATTTGTGAATAAGAATAACTGAATATGCAATTTATAAGTTGTTACTGATTAGTGAATGTGTGCTATTGTTTGTAGGATTGGTAAAACATGAAGAGGAGCGGAGATATTGCGTCATTATTTGGGAACCATGAAGCAAAAACAATGGAGATTCCAGAATCTTCTAGTTCTTCGAATGTATTCATTGGTGATGAAGCTCCTGTACCTGAAGAAGAACCACGACAAGTTCCTACAGATGCTGTAAGACATTATTTTTATCGCATTTTCACTAAATTTGTATTTGTATATCGGCTTTATGGTACAAGAAAATTTTAGCATGTGACATGAACGTGTGAACTAGCACTACCCAAGAAAAAATTCCTAGCTGCGCCACTGACTGGGAGTTCTTCACCGGTAGATTCTGCTCGCGAATCGTTGCTTGCACTGCGATCTCAGTTCTTGCTTACTTGCGCTGTTGATTCGTATGAATTCATGGCTTCTTTTGGTCTTCCGCTCTTGTGCAGTTTCCACGTGCACCTCCTGTTCGACGAAACGCCTCTTCGGTATCGGCCACCATGGATAGGCGTCCTGGGAGGCACAAGCTCAGGCGGGTCAAGGCCCATGTGCGCGCTGCCCGAATGGACCGGATCAGTGGCCTCCCCGACAAAATCCTCCACCACATCATGTCCTTCCTGAACACGCGCCAGGCTGTGCAGACGTGCGTGCTGTCCCGGCGGTGGCGCAATCTCTGGCGCACCATGCCCTGCATCAATGCCGACTTCGATGAGTTTGATTTCATTGCTTACCAAGGGGACGATGAGGACTACAATGACGAGGTGGCATTCAAGAGGTTCGTTAACCAAATGTTGGAGCTCCGCGATCCCACCGCTATGATAGACACATTCTGGCTCAGCTACATAATATGGGACGGGTACAATGAATACAAGGATTCCAATGTAGATGCCAACAGGTGGATTAGCCATGCTTTGCAGAAGCAGGCCAGGGTTATCGAGGTTGTCGTGTTCGCCTTTCCATTGGAGCTCGATCACTCAGTGTTCACTTCATGCTACCTGAGAAAAATTGGGTTCTCCTGTGTTTCTTTACACCAAGGTTTCTTCAAGCAACTTGACACCGGCTGTCCAGCATTGGAAGAACTCTTCTTACATGATTGCATCATTGCGGATGAGGAGATCTTGTCCCAGTCACTGAAGGTTTTGACCATCGACGGCACTGAATTCTCCATGGCTAACAAGGCATCTATTTCTATTCCAAGTGTTACTTCTCTGACCTTGTCTATTGAGGATTCCACACCTATGCTAAAGGACATGGAATTACTAACGACCGCATCAGTATCAGTTAAATTTAATACATTCATATTCAGTTATGGTTTTGATGCTAATGATCTCCGCCAGTGTCTCTGGAGCCTTTCTGGTGTTACAAACTTGGAGTTCAATTATGAGGGTACAGAGGTATGGTTATTTGTATTACTTAGTGTATCCACCCACCTTGATTTAGTTATCAATATGAAAAAACTGAAACTTAAGCTTTTCTTCTTGTCATTTCATAATTGCATAAGTTTAGTAGCCTGAACCTGTAAAACTAACATCGCAGAGCTAATTCATATGTTGTGAAACCATGATGTATTGATAATATGACGGATGTTATCAACATTTGATGCAATCTAGTTCATGTACTCTGGTCATTTGTGCATTAATCAACTAGCCCTGAAGTTTTTTATTTGGAAGTTTGATCTAAAAAATGAAACATGATCATTTCTCATGTGAGGACTTTACATGTCAGTCTAGATGCAATATCAGGGTTGTCAACCAAAAATGCATCTTATCCAATATCTGATAGACTATTTTACTTTAGTTGTACTTTTTGAAAGAGAGGTTTATTGGTGATTGTATGTTCTACACCTGCCCCAAGTCCAGATTTTTTGTGGCTGCAAATACGTGTGCATGCTATTTGTAGGATAGTGAAAGAAAAGTATTGATTTGTATAGGCAGTCATTTTCTCTTGTCCAATCTTTCATGTAATTTTTAGATTTCAGGATTAATTGTATATTGCATTTTATATTTTAGATAGTATATTTAGTTGGGATGTGTAATGTGTTGGGTGTTACAATACACAGACATTATGCTAGCATAATTTTAATGTTAGGAGACATTAAAAGGCAACATACAAACAGAAAATTCTTCCCGGGAATTGTTGAATGTCTCACTCCTACTGCTTCCTGATGATATATTTGTGTTGTTTTTTTACTGGTTTTGGACTTCCATGGAAACCATCCTGACAGTGAGTTCGCATGTGCTCGAGAGATTCTCGGTGAAAACAAACAAGTAGAACATTTTTTATTTTGGTCTTTTGTTGACATCAGTTCATTTTCTCCTGTGATCTTTTGCCATCCATTATCTTGAAGCTCTCAATTTAGTTGGTAAGTTTTGTGATTGAGGAAGTGTGGTGTATAATCGTTTGAATCTTTTGCAGCTGACATTCGAAAACAATTTGCAATGGTGCCCAGAATTCATCGATGTTGTCAACCTGACTCTTGGTCAGTGGTGCCTGGATGCAAACTTCTATGCACTAATTGTCTTCCTTCAGAACTCACCGAGACTAGAGAAGTTAACTCTGAATCTTGCGAAGGTAATTGCTTTCCTCAGATGTATACTGATCCTGCTCGATTGTTTCTTTTTGCACAAGAGGTTGTGCATTGGGAAATAACTTACTGTTTGTCGTGCTACAGTGCATTGCAGATAAATCTCCAAGAATTGTTGGCGAGCTTATGGAAAGATCATTTACGTGTGAGCACCTTAAGATTGTTGAAGTCAAATGCTTGGAGGATGATCCCCAGGTCATCAGTGTGGAAGATTTCTTTGCTAGTAATGGCATGGCCTCTGTTCAGTTTGATATCAAACACTGGGGCCAATACAAGGACGAGTTACCTGCATTTATTCGGTATGAGGAGAGATGAAATGCCAAAGGATCATGCATTTGTTTGTCATCCCATTGAAGAATCAACTCGCTTTCTGCTACATTCACTGGTTACAGTAGAGTTTTAAGGTCTCCTGCATTTTTGCTGGTCTCTAGGAATGGCATCCAATAACTTGCTAGTTTTCAACTGAACAAATCGAGTAATGTGTCATTCTACTCCTAATCTCTGGTTACATTAGCAGTTGTTCAACCAAGAACCTATTTATCCCTTGTACAACAGAATTTCTTTCCATTCATCAACTATTTTTGTCGAGTCTCTTCAGTTTCGTTTTCATTTTACAAAAACATTCTTATGTAGATTAAACTTTTTTCCCATCACGACGTGAGCAAGTACATATCACAGCACCCCACCACACAAACTGCTCACTTAATTGGCTTCGCCAAGAATGTGCAACAATCACGATCAACGAATCTTCATGGCGACGAAATCCAACAATTTGTGTTGCCACATTTTTGGTAAAACCTTTGAGAGAAAAAAATCATCCTTTAGGTAAAGTATTTATGGAGTAATCCTTTAATAGATAACGCTGTTGACTTTTTACATGATATTTCCATTCGTTATATTTAAAATAATACATAAATTTATTTATGTTGTTGTGAAAAGTTTACCATTAAAGAGACTTTTAAATATGAATTATATTTTAGCATATTTACATTAATTTTGAATAAAGCAAATAATCAAACGTTATTTCAAGACAACAAATCAGTTGATGCTGCCACTTGAGATTTTAATCTAGGTATTTGCTAGATTTTCGAATGCCTAAAATTTTGTAAATTTTCAGGCATCATAAATCTTACATTGTTAGTCCTAAATTTGCAATGCTATATGATGTGTAATTTTCAGTTCATTTTATCTTCAACTTCTTTGTTATATACCGTTTTAGTTTATTTACTTTATCAAAGTTTTTTTGCATGTAATTTTATGAATTTCATATTTAGATTCATTTTTTTAGTTTCTATTTAAAAGAGAAGGGACTTTGTTTATAAATAAGTAATAGACGAGTGATGATAGCAACCATTTGATTGTCATCCAAAGAATAAAAAGGTGATTGAAACTTCTGAATATTTCTGTAGCCTGAAATCAAGAGACACCCTGTAATATTTCATATGGCCATCAAAGGTAGCTCAAATAAACTGGCCATTTCAGAAATTATTGCACTTTTTTTTACTGGTATGGAAAACATTTCGTTTCACCTATCATGCATAATCTCTCATGTTCTGTTCCATAATATGCACCATGTCTAACAAAAGAGAAACTATGCGTGGTAATGCCATTATCTTCTTGATGGTAATATAAGAAAAAAATTATCATTGTTTCTTAAACATAATAATATAAGAACAAAATATTTTTTTTGAATTTTGTGGAACAATTAGAGTGGACGGTAATTGTGGCTTTGCAAAACACAAAAGAAACAAGAAGACAGTTGTACATCTTGGGCCAGAATAGACAACAGGGCCCAGCCCATTGGCGATTATCAGCCCATCTAACAGAGTAGTCAGGTTTTTTCTATTAAAATGGAAAAGACGTGGTGCGCTCGAGACGCGGCCGCCATTGGAGCTGGAGGTACGGCTCCCTCCTTCCTTCCTTCCCCCATCCTTGCTGCATCTTTCCTCTCTGGGAGTTCTTCACGGGCACATTCCTGCTAGGCATTCGGGACTCGATCCTTTCACTGACATCTCAGCTTTTGATTTGATTTGTGCTGTGGATTCATGGCTTCTTGTTCTTCCGCTCTTGTGCAGTTCCCCACGCGCACCACCTGTTCGACGAAACGCCTCTGCGTGCTTGGCCGCCATGGAGGGGCGTTCTTGCAGTTGCACGCAGGAAGGTCAAGACCCCGGCGCACGCTGCCGGGATGGACTGGATCAGCGACCTCCCCGACGAAATCCTCCACCGCATCATGTCCTTCCTGAACGCGCGCCAGGCCGTGCAGACGTGCGTGCTGTCGCGGCGCTGGCGCAACCTCTGGCGCACCGTTCCTTGCATCAACGCCGATTGCAAAGAGTTCGACTTCTTCGGGTTCCGAAGGAGCGAGGTGGAGTTCAAGAGGTTTGTCAACCGACTGCTGGAGCTCCGCGACCCCATCGCCATGATGGACGCGTTCTGGTTCAGGTACCACAAATTGGATACCGACACTACTTCCTCTGCAGACACCAACAGGTGGATTAGCCATGCTTTGCAAAAGCAAGCCCGGGTTCTAGAGGCTGTCATGTACCCCTGCCACCTATTGGATCTCGATCATTCAAGTTTTACTTCACGCTACCTGAGAAGAATTGGGTTCTCCGGTGTTCGTTTAGACCAAGGTTTCTTCAAGCAGCTTGAAGCTGGCTGTCCAGCATTGGAAGATCTCTTCTTACATCACTGTACCATTGAGGATGACAAAATATCATCCCAGACACTGAAGGTGTTGACCATCGATAGAACTTATTTCTTAATTGCGATCAATGCCACTGATGTTCAGAAGAAATCTATTTCTGCTCCAAGTGTTACTTCTCTGACCATGTATAGTCCTGAGGGTTCGTTACATATACTAAAGGACATGACATCGCTAGTGACTGCATCAGTTTCATTTAGTGAATTCAGAGTTCATTTTGATGCTAATGATTTCTACCAGTATCTATGGAGCCTTTCTGGTGTTACAAATTTGGAGTTCAATTATCAGGGTCCAAAGGTATTGCTATTACATAGTACAATTACTGCTACTACATACATTCACTCTTCTTTATTTTGGTACCAGTATGAAAAACTGAAAGTTAAGCATTGTGTTTATTCTTGCCACTTCATTATTGCAAATTGCAATAATTTAATTACCTGTATGGCTGTACCTGCAAAACTGACGTTGCAGCTAATTCTTGTGTCTTGAAATCATGATATATCGATAAGATAACCAATGTTATACTCTATGCAACATAGTTCATGTCCTCCAACCTTTTTTTTTTTGTACTTAAAATCAATCCGTTGAACACTTGTCCTGAAGTTTCTTTGTCGGCAGTTTTGATCTTGAAATGAAACTGGATCATTTCTCATGTGAGGACTCAAGTGTTCTAGTCTAATTCTTCAGGAATTGTTGAAACTCTCACTTCTAATGCTTCCTCATGACATATTTTTGTTGTTCTTTTCCTGGTTTTGGCTACATGAGTGTCATGGAAACCATCCTGATAGTTAGTTAACGTGCTCAAGAGATTCACATTAAAAGAACAAGTATAACATTGTTTAGTCTGGTTTTTTGTTGACATAATTTCATTCTCTCATATGATCTTTTACCAACCATTATTTTGAAGTTGAAGCTATAGTTATACGTGCACTGCAAATAGAATATTTTATCACATACTGTTAGTACTCTACTGCTCTCAATATATTTTTGTTGGCAAGTTTTCTGATTATAATTGAATCTTTTGAAGCTGAAAATCGAAAACAATTTGCAATGGTGTCCTGAATTCGTCAATGTTGTCAACCTGACTCTCGGCAAATGGTGCCTCGATGCAAACTTCTATGCACTAACTGTCTTCCTTCAGAACTCACCAAAACTACAGAAGCTAACTCTGAAACTCGCAAAGGTAAATACCTTCCTCCAATGTATACTGATTCCACTTGATTATTTTTCGCACAAGTTTGCTCATCAGAATATTGCTTACCTGTTTTTCTTGCTATAGTGTACTTCGGAAATACACCAAAGAATCATTGGTGAGCTTACAGAAAGATCATTTACATGTGAGCACCTTAAGATTATCGAAGTGATATGCTTGGAAAATGATCCCCAGGTCATCCGTGTGAAAGATTTCTTTGCTAGTAGTGGCATAACCTCTGTTCAGTTTCATATCAAACACTGGAGCCAGCTAAAAGAGGATAAGTTACCGGCGTTTACCCGCATTCCTATTCCGTCCCATTGAAATCACTCTCTTTCGGCTTACTTGGCTGGTTGAGTTCTAAGGCACGTCGACATATTTACTGGTCTGGTTTGATCCTCTCTGCTGTGATGTGGGTACAAACAATCTTGTCTCGTTGCATGTATAAGTAAGTATAGTTTTTTTTTTGGGGGGAAACACAAATTCAGTCGTTAGCCTAAAATGTTCCTCCATGAACTAGGACTGTATATGGTATCATATTTGAGTACTATATATATGATTTGCATGTTGCAATCCCATGACATGCTTTCACTTGTAGCATGCTTCTGTCCGGATGAGTCCATTCTATAGTACTTTCATTTTAGGCTGATTTGGTATTCTGGTCAAGCTTCAGCTGGTGATTACGGGGCATACTCGATACTTCCCGTCGACAACTGGAGTAGTCATTAACAACTGTGTTAAGCCCTTACCCTGAAGTCACTAACAACTGGAGCTTCATTCTCATTTCTCATTTTAATCTAAATAGGAATAGGTCTGCTTCGCCCCTTAAAGTATGAAAGAGAATTTTCTACACCCAAAAATATCAAAACCAGTTCAAATAGCCTCCTAGAGTGGTTTTATTATACACACGATGACATGGACTATAGAGGAGACTATTGAAATGGGCTAAGCACTTTATTCACAAGTGAAATGGGCTGATAATGATTTAAACTAGTGTTAATATATAATGTTTAGGCTTGCCGACATGTAAGTGAAAAATAATAGTAAGATCAACTTGGATTTGCTATGCTAATCTTTATGCCATGCAAGCTAATGCCGCTACCACATAACCATCTACATGTCAAAACCACCTACAAAACCACTTTTGGGGTTATTTAAACCGGTTTTTCATATCAGTTTCGTACTTTAGGGGGTTAAGTAGGCCAACCTTAATACTTCAGGGGGTAAAGTAGACTTAGACCCTGTTTAGATGGGACTAAAACTTTTAAGTCCCTATCACATCGGATGTTTGGACACTAATTATAAATATTAAACGTGGACTATTAATAAAACCCATCCATAATCTTAGACTAATTCACGAGACGAATTTATTGAGCCTAATTAATCCATGATTAGCCTATGTGATGCTACAGTAAACATTCTCTAATTATGAATTAATTATGCTTAAAAAATTTGTCTTGCAAATTAGCTTTTATTTATATAATTAGTTTTGTAAGTAGTCTATATTTAATACTCTAAATTAATGTCTAAATATAGAGACTAAAGTTAAAGTTAAGTCTCTGGATCCAAACACCACCTTACTCCATCCAAATAATTGAAAGGTGAAAATGTGAAACCCTCTATGCAAAACTACAGCGTCACATCATCAAAAGAATATGGAACGACTGATTTTCGCTCCAGAGGTTGCAGACTGTTGGATCATTGGATTGGCAAAATATCTCAATACTTCAGGAAACTTCTTTTATGTTATAATCATTCCATGTTCCTAGAGCCTTCATAAAAGCTCAAGGCTCGCGAGCTGCCCGAGCTCGACTCGTTCTAGGCTCGATTCGAGCTCGGCTCGAGCTCCAAACGAGCCCAGCCCGAGCCTCTCCCTAAGCTCGCGAGCTTTGTCGAGCCGAGCTCGAGCTTCCAACGAGCCTAGTAATATATGATTTTTGTTGTTATATTATTTATATATCTTGTATTGACATCATATGTTTATTTTATTCTTTTTTCCTCTTCTATTAATATGAAGAACTAGAAATTAATTATTTTTTAAATATTATCCTTAAAATATATATTGTTTTACTTAAAATTTAAGCTCTGTAGTCGAGCTCGAACTGAGCCTGTCGGAAAGCTCGAATATTTTATAGGCTTGGCTCAAGCTTGTATTGAGCTCGAGCCTAGGCAGACAAGCGAACTCGAGCTCGGCTCGTTGAGAGCCCTAGTTCTATTGTTTCTTTTTCATTGCCTACTTCTGTCCGGAGGAGTCCATTCTGATTGTGGAAGACATATTGTTTTCAAATTATTGTTATTCTTTACTCCACCTACATTCCAGTTTACTAACAGAAGTGATCGCAAATGGCAAGTTTAATACCAATTTCCCCCTTTTTTCCAACCAGTCATTAACAATTGTGCTAAACCCTTGAAATCATTTGGCCGACCAATTTATATCCTTTACTAACATTTTGTTTCCGAATCAGGAGCTTCATTCTCGTTTTAATTGAGGATTAAAATTATAAACTGGACAATCACTCCATTCTCAAATATAAAACTTTTAGGAGTATTTTTTAGATTGCTTATTCTTCCATCAACCACGGGGTCATTTAATGTTTAACCTAATTAATCCCAAGCTAAAATGTTAGATTTCGTAACATTAGCTTAGAGCAATGTCAATAGTATAGCCAACTACTAGCTCCAAAACATCTATAGCCAATCTAATAGCCCATTCATACAATATTTAACTATAAAAATATACTTCACTATTAATACCCGGTCCCACCTCTCATATACACATAACATTTTGGAGTCCGTGTTGCAGCCGGCTATAAATATGTAGCTCGCTTTCTTCTCTCTCTTCTCTTTTCTTCTCGATATATGGTTATAGCTGGCTTATAGCCTGCTATTGTACTTGCTCTTATAGTTCGTTTTTTAATTCTATATACCGATTAACTCTTACGATTACTTTTCAGAGTGCTGATTCTTCCACCAACCGCGAGTCATTTAATTTTGAGTGAAGTGCACCAGCGGTCCCTAAACTTGTGTGGGTGTGTCATCTAGGTCCCTAAACTCTCAAAATGCATTTTTGGGTCCCCGAACTTGTCTTGGGTGTCATATAGATCCAAACGGGCTCCGACCCGCTCCATCCGCTGACGTGGCATGCCACGGTAGCGCCTACGGGTCAGCGGGGACCCACATGTCACCTCTGTGCATCATCTCCACCGCCCTGGAAGCCGAGAGAGAGAGAGAGAGAGAGAGGGAAAGAGAGACGCCGGCGGTGCTCGACGCATCACGCGTGCCCGGGACGTGGCAACGCTGAGCTCCACTCTTTTCTTCCTCAGACGTGTCGCCTTCTCTTCTACATTCTTCAGGAGCCGAACAACTCGGACGAGAGAGAGCCCTATGCCTCTCCGTCGCCCACATTCTCGTCGTCGGTCGCGAAGAAGACGACGCTCGCTGTTGCCGACGAGTCGTCTCCATCTCCAAATCTTTCCCGTTCCATACTTCCCACATCATGCCGAGCAAATCTCCTTTTGACCCCATCTCGTTTTATCCACTGCAGCAACGGAAACGCGACCTTGCCCACGAGAGCTCCAGAACTCGCACCGGGCGCCGCCGCCATGACGTCGTCGCTGTTCCGGCCGACATGGTCCATCTCAAGCCAAGCCATCGCGCCAAAGTCATCGCCTCACCATCATGGCCAAAAGCCCTCAAGAAATTTTAAGAATCGTGCACAGACGAGGGAGATCACCGTCATCTTCTCCAATTCCGGTCACCGAGTGCCATCGCCAATCCCTCTCTCCTCGGTGAGCCACGGACTAATTAATCGTGCATGCAACTCTTTAGAAACCTCACTGACCATCCATGCACCTTCTCTAAGCATTCCACCACCCAAGCGAGCCGTCGCCGTGAAGCCGACGTTATCCACCACCGCCGGGCTGTCTTTTCCATTGCTGCTGTTACCCAGACGCCATGCCGCAATCAAGTTCCAGTGAGCACCTAGGGACCTGCTAGACTCGCATGCATGCATCTTTTTGCACTAAATCGGGCTGGGGCTCTACATGCACAAGCGTACCGAAGACCACCGCCATTCGCGACACCACTGGCATCGATTCCGGCCACCTCCGGCGATGAGACCACCTTCAACAGGATCGCAAGGAAGTTCTCAGCATTTCTTCTTGTGGTTGTGTCGGCCAAAGAATCGTCGTTCGCCGACGGCATCGTCGTGAAGGAACGCCGGCCGGCAAACTCTGCAGCAGCAGCTGCTGCTGCTTTCTCCCTGTGCCTATGACAGGTGGGCCCCGCTCCATTAGCACGTACAGGATTTGATTAGAGTAAGTTTAAAACATGTAAAGTTCTTTCTGTAAATATTGTTATCATGTCATATATTTATTTTTATAAATATGACTGACATGTGGGTCCCCACTGACACGTAGGCGCTACCGTGGCATGCCACGTCACCGGATGGAGCGGGTCGGTGCCCGTTTGGATCTATATGACACACAAGACAAGTTAAGGGATCTAAAAATGCATTTTAAGAGTTTAGGGACCTAGATGACACACTCGCACAAGTTTAGCGACCGCTGGTGCACTTCACTCTTTAATTTTTAACCTAATATTAACCCCAAACATCCTCTTACTCCTCAACTACACATCATTTAATGAGGCAACTGTAGTCTTTTCTTCTCAATCTTACTATGCTAAACAACTCCTTGTTTGTGAAGTTGGAGATTCTAAAAACAGCCGGTGAAGATCTAGTCTAGAAATGGTAGATTTTTTAACTTAAGTTTATAGTTCATTTTCTAAATTCTATATATACAAATTAATCCTTATAACCCGAGTAAAATTCTAAACTATTTCGGGAGCCGAAGATTCGAAGAGAAGTTGTAGCTATGGAGGCTTTCCAAATAGAGCATAGAAATACTTATATTCTACTCCATCCGTTTCAAAATGTTTGACACCGTTGACTTTTTAGCACATGTTGGACTGTTCGTCTTATTAAAAAAATTTGTGAAATATGTAAAACTATATATATATATATGAAAGTATATTTAAAAATGAATTAAATGATATGAAAAGAATAAATAATTACTTCAATTTTTTAAATAAGACGAATGGTGAAACACGTACTAAAAAGTTAACGGTGTCAAACATTTTGAAACGGAGGGAGTATAACGGAGAAAGGAGGAAATCAGATGGAACAAATTTACAAGCACGTCGTCCTATACATACAAGCAAGCGTCTATCTACCGAAATGAACAGCCAGGTGTCCAAAGCTGACGCCTCCCAATCTCGAATTCGAGGTATGCGCATGGCTCCCTCCTTCGATCGATCCGTTGTTTGTGTTCCTTGCACCTATCATCATCAGTTCATCCACAAATCTTTGCTTAGAATTGCATGCGGGCTCATGTCTGGTTGATTCTTGGTTGGTCTTGGGGGGTTTTTGTACGTGCAGCTTCCACGCACGCGCACTACCTGTTCGACGAAACGCCTCTGCGACGTGCTCGGCTTCCAGCCCGCGCCATGGAGGCGCCGCCTGTCAAGAGTGGGTGGCGGGTCATGGCCCCGGCGCACGCCGGCGGCAGGGAGGACCGGCTCAGCGACCTCCCCGAGGGTGTCCTCCACCGCGTCATGTCGTTCCTGGACTCGCGCCAGGCCGTGCGGACGTGCGTGCTGTCGCGGCGGTGGCGCGACGTCTGGCGCACCGTTCCCCGCGTCCACGCCGATTTCTGCGACTTCACTCTGAACTGGACCAGCGACGACGACGAGGTGGACGAAGCGGCCGTAGCGGAGGACGAGGTGGTGTTCAACAGGTTCGTCAACCGGCTGCTGGAGCTCCGTGATCCCAATGCCTCGATTCGATCGTTCTTCCTCAGATTCTGCAGATCGGATGGAGGCGATGATGGCTCAGCAGAAGGGAACAGATGGATCAGCTACGCTCTGCAGAAGAATGTCCGGATTCTGGAGGTTTCCGTGCTGTCCTACGCATTGGAGCTCGATCACTCGGTGTTTTCATCGCGCTACCTGAGGACAATGGACTTCAGCAATGTCGTGATGAACCAAGGTTTCTTCAAGCAACTCGAGATGGGGTGTCCAGAATTGGAAGAGCTCTTCTTGGATGAATGTTTCATTGTGGATGATGAGATCTCCTCCCAGACACTGAAGGTTTTGACCCTCGATGCCACTCATTTCTGCTGTGGCTTCAAGACTTCCATTTCAAGTCCGAGTATTACTTCTCTGGCCTTGCACTATCCTATGAGTGGCAAACCTGTACTGAATGACATGGAAGCACTAGTGAGCACGTCGATGCTGCTTTGTCATGTGAAAGACGACGATTTTGCTGCTAATGATCTCCGCGACTATCTCTGGAGCCTTTATAATGTTGAAATTTTGGATTTCAGTTATCACGGGAAGAAGGTATGCTTACTGATCTTACATATTTTCCCTTGTCTTATGTGCCCTAACTGTGGTATCAATGTGAAAAGGTGTGTTGATAGGGTGGATGATATTATCAACCATACCATTCAGTCCAATTTAGTTCATCTGTTCATGTACTCTGTCTATTTCTACATAAACGAACCTTAGTTAGCAATTTGATTTCACAAATGAAATTGGATCCATTTCCCGTTTGATGGCACAACATGTTCTTGTGTGGCTGCAATATTTGGTTTGGAAACTGAAAATGCATCCTGTCCAAAATCCAAGTGATTGTTTAACTTCAGTTGACATTACTGCACATTTACAGGAATTCTGCATATATATTTGAAAATTATGAGATATTCAAATCTCGAAGTCAAGAAATGAATGGAAAATGCTTCATCAATTTTCAAAAGTCTTATTCCTGCTGCTACCTCGTGATACTTGCATGGAAATATCCAGATAATTAATTCACACAAGCTCTATAAACTTCCATTGGAACTAAACAAGTATGTCATTGTTTAATCTGGTTTTTGGTAGCCATAATTTTTTTTTTCTTGTAGTATTTTACTATGCATTATCTTGAAGCCATATTTGTACCTGTACTGCAACCAGAGTACTTATCACATAATGCCCATGTTCTCAATTTTGTTGCCATATTTTTTGAATATTTTTGTCTATAATATGGCATGGCTTTTATACACCACATAACTCCAATGTTGTGCAGCTGACAATGGAAAATAATTTGCAATTGTGTCCGAAATTCATCAATCTTGTCAGTCTGACTCTCGGTCCATGGTGTCTGGATGCCAACTTCTATGGACTAATCGTCTTCCTTCAGAACTCACCAATATTGGAGAAGCTAACCCTAGAACTCGCAATGGTAAATATTTTCCTCCAAATGTATACTGACCCTACTTGAAAGATTTTTGACAAGCACACATATCATCAGGAATATAGCTTACCTGTTTATTCTTGCTATAGTATCGTACAGGAAAATTACAAAGAATCATTGGCCAGATTGAAGAAAGATCATTTACATGTGAGCACCTTACGAGTGTTGAAGTCATATGCTTGGAGGATGATCCCCTGGTCAACGACGTGGTCAACTTCTTTGTGAATAGTGGAATGTCCTCTGTTCAGATTCATATCAAACAATGGAGCCAGAGCGAGTATGAGTAACATCCACTTTTCCAGTCTGAGGACATATGAAACGTCAAAGGATCATACATTCGGTGGTCATTCCATCCAAAAAATCACTCTCTTTCAGCTACATTCCTTGATTCTAGTAGGGTTTGAAAGCACATAGACTTCTTGGTCGGTGCTATGACGTGAGAACAAACAATCATAGTCCTATACTTGTATATATGTTGCTTCTGTTTAAATACTCCATTTGGCCTATGTTCTGCTGACGTGGTGTTACATTCCCATTACATGCTTTCACTTCTTCTGGTTTCTATTAATCATATGCTTGGAGGATGTTTAATCCCCTGGTCAACTGCGTGAAAGGCTTCTTTGTTAACATTGGCATGGCATCTGTTCAGATTAATTGATATCAAACACTGGAGCCAGTTCCAGCGTGAGGTACTGCAATTTTCCTGGAAATGTTTGAATGAAATGACAAAAAGATCAATTCAGTTGTTGTTCCATTGAAGAAGCCTCTCTTTCTGGGCTGGTTATACATTTGTTGGTTCCAGCTGAGTTTGAAGAACATAGACATGTTTGAGTACAAACAATCGCGTGTCTTGCATTGGGTTGCTTCATTGCTTGTAACTTGTAAGTTGTATGGTCAGCAGTTCTTCTGCTGTTTGATGATGTTTGTTTCTGCCAGAGCGGGGATACCTTGTTACTGCAAATTAAAACATAAATCACATGATGTAAGTAGATTGTGTTGATCTTGTGATCAACTTTCAAGGCAGATAGAAATGTTTACTGCTCTTGTTTGGTGCTGTGAAAATTTTAACAGTCGTGCCTTTAGCTGCATGTAAGATAGTCTTGTACTACATGTCTGCGGCAATCACAGAATGTGGACAACATACAAATGGAAAATGTCTCAGCAATTCTGGAAGTCTGACAGCACTCTTACCTTGTGAATCATGACTTCAGGCTGCGCTCAGGAGTGGATGTTGTAATCTTGTCTCTTGCGCACGCAAAACGTAGCTGACTCGCTAACATATAATTAATTAATTATTAACTAACGTAAACTTAAAAATAGATTAATATGTTTTTTAAAACAACTTTCCTACAAAGATTTTTTTTTAAAAAAAATGCATCGTTTAGTTCGGAAAACGTGCTCGTGAAGAATTAAGGATTAGAAGTTAGAAAGTTGTGGTACCAACACACCCTTAATCGCGTAGGCGGCTATATAAATTAATACGAAGTGTTTACATGTCAGATTCAAAATGGTCCCAATAAATACACAACCATTTCAATGGGGGATGGGGGCATATAACTACTTTACATCCTCCATTTATATTATACGTCACTTTGATTCTTTTTTAAGTTGAACTTTTTTAAGTTAGAACTTTTTTAAGTTTAAATAAGCTTATAAAAAAACATAGCAATATTTTCAATGCAAAACAAACATAACATCAAAATAAAATATATTGAACGAAACTAATTTAGTTTTGTAATTATTGCTATATTTTTATATATATTTGGTTAAATTTAAAGAAGTTTGATGAAAAAATCAAACAATTTATAATAGGCAAAATTTGCTACACGACATGCAAAAAACGTGTAATTGGCTGAGATACACCGTAAAAACGTGACACGGCTGATACACACTCTAAAAATTGTATAATTGGCTATAGGACACCGGAGGCAATATTTATAATTTCCATATCGAAAAAGGTGATAATATTTTTCAAATGGCGAGATTGCCCCTGCCATGGAGCAGGGCCACCGCCAATTCATCGGATCGGATTGCCTCCGCGCCTACATCGCCTTCTCCTCGCTCTCCGTCCTCCTCCTCCTCGGCGGCCACGTCGCCCTCCTCCTCCTCTCACGGTGCCTCCGCCTCCCGCTCGACGCCGTCTCCTTCGCGCTGCTCCTCCCCAACACCGCCGCCGCGCTGGCGCTCGTCGCGCTCGTCGCCATCGCCGCCTTCTGGTTCACGCTGCTCCCAGAGTGGATCACCGGGCGCTACTCGTCGCCATGGCGTTGGTCCTCGACGTCGCCGTTGGTCCTCGCTGAACGAGGAGATCCCAGCGCTGCTCGTCGCCATGGCGTTGGTCCTTGCTGAACGAGGAGATCCTGGTGTTGGTCCTCGCCGTCGCCTGCAGTGGTACCCCGGCGGAGCGCCGCCGCTTTTCCTCCGCGCGCCGAGCCGCCCCGTCTCGGGCCATCGCGCTGGCCGAGCGCCGTTCCTCCGCTCCACCGCATGCGTGAGGAAGAAGAAGGATAGGAGAGAGATGTGGGCCTCACTTATGATTAGCAAATAGTAATCACCCTACTAATTAGGAACAAATTAGTCCATGACGCGTGGGCCAGGTGGTTAAAAACCTATTAAAAATTAGATTAAGCATACACTATCCATAACACGTGGGACCCACCGGTGTTTAAAGAAGAAAAGAGAAAGGGCAATCCAGACATTTAGAAAAATAACCTATTTTGACCCGCAAAAAATAAAATAATGCGACCGATGTCCTACGGCCAATTACACGTTTTGTTTGTAGTATCCATCAGCCATATCACGTTTTCACGGTGTCTCTCAGTCAATTACACTTTTTTTTTTTTTGTCCCGTGGCAAATTTTTCCTTTATAATATGAACTTATAATTCGAAACTTAGTTACTCACGGATGAAGCGGGTCAAGCTTACATTCTGTGGCTATTGGGCTCTGATGGGAAGCCCATCAAAGTAGCTGAAACTAAATGCGCGGGAAATAATTAGAGTTGTGGAGGGAAAACGAGGCATCACCGCTTTATTTCGGCGCTGGAAATACAAAGAGATTGTTCGTCTTCCTCCTCTTCACAGCCCAAACACCGAGAGACGAGCACCAAACCAATCGAGGTTTGTTTCTTCCTTTCTTCCAATCATCGTTGCTTGCCAGAGCTGCTGCCTTGTCGAATCTTGCTTACGGTTGATCTGCTGCGTTCTTGGTTTCTTGGTTTTTCCCCTCTCTGCAGCGGGCTTCCACGCGCGCCACCTGTTCGACGAAAGGCGTCTGAGCGGGTGCTCGGCGGCCATGGAAGAGCCGCCTGGCAAGAAAGGTCCGGCCATGGACCCCGCGCAAGACTCGGGCAGGGACTGGCTCAGCGGCCTCCCCGAGGGGGTCCTCCACCGCATCATGTCGTTCCTGGACTCGCGCCAGGCCGTGCGGACGTGCGTGCTCTCGCGGCGCTGGCGCGACCTCTGGCGCTCCATACCCCGCGTCCACGCCGACATCTACGACTTCACCCCGGACGGGACCATCGACGGCGAGGGAGAGGAGGACGTAGAGGAGGCCGAGGTGGTGGTGGTGTTCAACAGGTTCGTCAACCGGCTGCTGGAGCGACGCGATCCCACCGCCTCAATAGAGACGTTCTTCTTCAGATGCTGCATACCAGACGAAGACGACGATGGATCCGCAGACGCGAACAGGTGGATTTCCTACGGTTTGCAGAAGAACGCCTGGTTTCTGGAGGTTGTCGTGCAGCTCAACTCATTGGAGCTCGATCGCTCGGTGTTCAATTCAATCTACCTGAGAAGAATTGCCTTCGGCAATGTTTTCATGGACCAAGGTTTCTTCAAGCAACTCCAGATTGGCTGTCCAGCATTGGAACGTCTCTACTTAGATGATTGCATCGTTGCGGATGACGAGATCTCCTCCAACACACTGAAGGTTTTGACCTTCGATACTACTGAATTCTGCTATGAGCACAGGATTTCTATTTCTATTCCGACCGTTACTACTTTAGCCCTGCGCAATACTATTTGCGGCAAGCCTGTACTAAAGGACGTGGCATCACTAGTGAGCGCATCAGTGGTACTTTATTGTGTGGAAAGCGGCAATTTCGATGCTTATGATCTCCGCCACTATCTCTGGAGCTTTTCTCACGTTAAAGATTTGATTTTCAGTTATCAGGGGAGAAAGGTATGCTTACCGATCTTACATATTCCACCTTGTCTTATGCATCTTGACTTAGGTGTCAATGCGAAAAGGTGAAGTGTCTCTTCTTGATACTTCACAATTACATGACATATCAATAGGATAACTGATGTTATATCAACCAATCATCTAATATAGTTCATGTACTCTGTTTCATTTCTATATAAATCAACATGTTGATCACTTGACCTGAAGCATCTTAGTTGGCAGTTCGATTTCACAATGGAACTGGAGTATTTCCTGTTTGATAACTGACATGTGCTTTGTGTGGCTGCAATATTTGGGTTGGCAACTGAAAATGCATCATCCAAAATCTGAGTAATTGTTTAACTTCAGTTCACATTACTCCATATATATTTCTTTCCTGAGAGGAGTACTACACATATATTTCAAAATTATGAGACATTCAAAGTCAACAAATGAATGGAAAGATGCTTCAGCAATTTTTCAGTGTCTTACTCCTGCTGCTACCTCGTGATACATTTGTATTGTGTCGACTGGCTTAGCTAGTTAGCTACCCAACTTGCATGGAAAAAAGCCTGATAAATAATTCACACATGCTCTATAGACTTTACGTGGGACCAATCAAGTATGGCATTGTTTAATCTGGTTTTTGGCAGTCATCATATCTTTCTTCTTTCCTTGTGGTCTTTTACTATCCATTATCTTGAAGCTATATTTTACCTGTACTGCAACCAAAATACTTGTCACATAATGTTCATGCTCTCAAGTTTTTCTTTGGCAAGTTTTGTGAAATTTTATCTACAATGTCAATATGGCATCGCTTTTATGTAGCTACATAATCACTCCACTCTTGTGCAGCTGACAATTGAAAACAATTTGCAATGGTGTCCAAAATTCTTCAATCTTGTCGGCTTGACTCTGGGTAAATGGTGTCTGAATGCAAACTTCTATGCACTAATTGTCTTCCTTCAAAACTCACCAAGATTGGAGAAACTGACTCTGATACTCGCTGAGGTAAAACAATTTGAAATGCATCCTGCATACGTGAAAGCTTTTGCACGAGTGCACATGCCAATAGAGGATATAGCTTACCTGTTTTCCTTTCTGTAGGATAATTGTAAAACATCAGAAGTATTCATCGGTGAGCTTGAGGAAAAATCATTTACATGTGAGCACCTTACGAGTGTTGAAATGAAATGCTGGGAGGATGATCCCCTGGTGATCAACGTGGTTGACTTCTTTGTTGGTAGTGGAATGTCTTCTTCTCAGATTCATATCGAATACGAAGACGACGATGAGGATCAATTTCATATCGAATCTGATGACATGTTTGGGTTTGAGTTCGAGTATGAGGACGAGGACGAGGATGAGGATGAGGATGAGGATGAGTAAAGCTCACTCAGTCTAAGGACATGAAACATCAAAGCGGCACATTCCATCCAAAAGATCGCTCTCTTCCGTCTTCCTCTGATTCCAGTTGACTTCGAAAGCAGAGACATGTTTACTGATCTTCTTTGGAGCTATGATGTGAAGAATCATGTCTTTCGTTGCATATAAGCTCAGTCGTCTTTTGCTTGTTTGCTTCTGTGATATTCCAAGAACCAAGACTATGTGCTACATGTCTGAGTACTTCATTAGGCCTTTATATATGACGTGATATTAAAATTCCATATCGTACTTCCACTTTCTATTACTCGTTTTTATCTATCACTGCCTACTGTCAGGATGTGACCATTCTGACAATGGAAGAGATACATCATTTGTTTCTGAATGATTATTCCTTGATCTACTCCCTCCGTCCTCTAATATAAGGGATTTTGACATTTTGCTTGCACTGTTTGACCACTTGTCTTATTTAAAAAATTTGTGCAAATATAAAAAACAAAAAGTTGTGCTTAAAATACTTTGGATAATAAAGTAAGTCGCAAATAAAATAAATAATAATTCTAAAATTTTTTAAATAAGACGAATGGTCAAACAGTGCAATCAAAATGTTAAAATCCCTTATATTAGAGGACAGAGAGAGTATAAAGGAAGCCAAGTATTCCCCTATGTCCCTAATCCCATTCTAGAATTATAAATCTGGACATGAGATATGATTAGACATATCCTAGATTGCTACTCCTGTTTCAAAATATTTGACACCGTTGACTTTTTAGCACATGTTTGATCATTCGTCTTATTCAAAAAAATTTGTGAAATATGTAAAACTATATGTGTACATGAAAGTATATTTAACAATAAATCAAATTATATGAAAATAATAAATAATTACTTAAATTTTTTGAATAAGACGAATGGTCAAACACGTACTAAAAAGTCAACGGTGTCAAACATTTTGAAACGAAGGGAGTACATTTTAAGATCTGGGTATTAATTAACACATGCAATTCATGTTAGCATCTCTCTTCGCCTCATAAGTTTTTTTTATGCAAAATACAACCAAGACTTTGCCCAGTAGTTATATATTATAAAGAAAGAAGAGTTATTTACAAAAAAATAAAAAAACAAAGCTAAAACAGAAGAATTACAGATTTTGTAACCAGCTAAGTTGTTGTTATATATTATATATGTGTGTTAAACTTTATCACTCATCACGCCAATATAAACTTGTGAATAGGCTAAAAATGGAGGTGAAAATAGAACAGAAATGGACGACAAAGCTATAGTGGATAATAGTATTGAGCCTCGTGGGTTGTCGATGGATGGCACGACTTGTGTTCAAGTAAATAAGTAATCAACTAGAGATGAGGAAATAAAACAATATCTTTCTAAGATAATGGATAGAAATCTGGTCTCTATATCCACAATTGGATACACATAACCCAAGGTTAAGGTTATATGAATACTTAGATTTCATGTACAAAACACATTAATAAAAAAACAAAACCCCAGGTATTAACGTCCAACTTGTAGTATTTCTATCAGGATAAACTGAGATCATTCTAATTGTGGAAAGTATATACAATTAATATTATTTTGAGTAAATTCATAAAAACCTCAGCTATTATTATGGTCCAAATTGTGGGATTTTTGCACGTTGCACATAACCACATGTAATTTCATAATACCACACCATTAACTTTTTGTCTTTGATATATCATGCATATGAGTTCTAAACTTATATCTGAAATATATGAGTTTTTTTAATTCACTGTATAAATGTTGTAGTAATCTAAGGGCCTGTTCACTTTGATGTTATTTTCAACCTTACCAAATTTTGGTAAAGTTGCCAAAAAAGTGGCTACATTTAGTTTGCTGTCAAATTTTGTTAACTATATAAGAAATCCTGCCAAAATTTTGGCAAGTTGCCAAAATTTGGTAAGGTTTTTTTTTCATCAAAGTGAACAGGCCCTAAGTGAATTATTTTTTATTTTGCTACAGTACTAAAATAGATTGGTTAACATTGTAGTGGAATAATCTCACCATGTGCTAGAGAAGTTCTACAACAAAACAACTCCAGATCTCTTCCTTGTAGAACAGATTTTCTTGCCGTTTATAAACTACTCCCCTGAATGAATCTTGACGGCAAATTGTGTTGGAAATGGTGAGGAAATCCAACACAAATTGTGTTGCCGAATTTCTAGCAAAAACCGTTGAAAAAAAATTCATCTTTTGGCAAAGTGTTTTCATAAGATCATACTTCCTCTATTTCATATTATAAGTAGTTTTGTTTTTTTTCTAATCAAATTTATTTTAGTTTAATAAAATTTATAGAAAAATTTAACATCTAAAACACAAAATTAGTTTCATTAAATCTAGCATCAAATATATTTTGATAATATGTTGAAAATGTTATTATATTTTTCTATAAACTTAGTCAACCTTAAATAAGTATTTAAGTTTGATTAGGAAAAAAATTAAAATGACTTATAATATGAAATTGAGAAAATTCATATTCTAAATACACTTTTGTTATTTTCGAACTATAAACTCTTAGGTGCTGATGCTTAGTTACAACTTACAACAACCCACTAATTCTTAATTTCGAGTTCAATAAGTAACTAAATATGCCAGTCAGAAATTCATTTTACAAATTTAATGGTATGGAAAACATTTTAAAACCATTAATTTCGGTCACGTTTTGTTCCATCTCATCATGTATGATGTATTATACCGAATTTTTTAGATGTAAGCACATGCAATCCAGTAATTACAAAAATAAGCACGCAACAACCACATTTAGATGTATAGGCAAGATGCTCACATGAAGCACGGTGCTTCCATTGAACCACTTGACCAACAGACTAATGGGCCGCTGAATTAAGAACGTTAGCGCAAGAACCCACATCACCAATTGGTTAAATGCATCATTACGGGAGCATGCATGGTTTAATTGTGTTGTTTTTATTTTACAACTCATTGTAGCATATGTATTTCTTACATTATTTTTTTTAAAAAGAAAACATATACATTATTTTTTAAAAAAAGAAAACATATATATGTTTTCTTTTTTAAAAAAATAATGTAAGAAATACATATGCTACAATGTGAGCTATGATACCAAAACTATTGCTATTAGAGCAAGTTCAATAGTATAGCCCACTACTAGCTCCAATTCATGTATAGCCAATCTAATAGCCAATTCATATAATACTACCTCCATATTTTAATGTATGACGCTGTTGACTTTTTGTTTAACGTTTGACCATTCGCCTTATTCAAAAAATTTATGTAATTATCATTTCTTTTATTATGGCTTGATTCATCGTCAAATGTTCTTTAAGCATAACATAAATATTTTCATATTTGCACAAAAATTTTGAATAAAACGAATGGTCAAACGTTGGTTAAAAAATCAACGGTGTCATATATTAAAATACGGAGGGAGTAATTGCTTATTATACTATTAATATATGGTCACACCTGTAATACACACATTGTGTCTTGAAGTCCATGCTACAGCTGACTATAAATCTGTAGCTCACTGCTTTTCTCTCTCATCGTTTATCTCATTAAAATATGTTTATAGCTAGCTAATAGCCTGCTATTGTACCTGCTCTTAGCTGAAGAAAAAGAAGAGGATTAATACTATTGGGCTGCTCGCACGTTAATGCTAGAAACAAGACCGGCTGCAAAACCCCCCATATACTTCGTTAGGTCCTCTTGGTCAACCCGATATTGACAGTGGTCAAGTACTTGTGCGAAGGTTGGTTAGAATTAGAATTCCAAACAATGCGTGCTCACATATGTAATTATTGGGCTGCGTGTGTTTAGATATAAAAAAAATCGGTATTATATCGAACAAAGATAAAAACTACATTGTGATTTCGTTACCTTATTGATCGTTGCCTCCACGCATGATGTCATAATTGTTGTCAAACATGATATTAGTATAAGCAAAATTACTTTTCTTGGATTTTGTCGAACGATAATAGTGGGTGATATAATATTGTCTTGGCCAAAAAAAAAACTATGTAGTTCTACATCTTGGGCCGCGCAACATGGCCCAGCCCATTCCGTGGGGCAGACTGCGAAGGACGCCGCCTCCCATTCCGTGGTGCTCTGGAAAGTCGAGGCGCGACGCCGGCGACGTGAGCGCCATTGGAGGTCGGCGGCGAGTTCTTCACCGGCAGATTCTGCTCGCGACTCCTTCCTTGCACTGCGATCTCAATTCTTGCTTACTTGCGCTGTTGATTCATATGGCTTCTTTTGGTCTTCTGCTCTTGTGCAGTTTCCACGCGCACCACCTGTTCGACGAAACGCCACTGCGTGATCGGCCGCCATGGAGGGTCGTCCTGGGAGGCGCAGGCGCAGGAGGGTCAAGGCCCCGACGCGCGCTGCCGGCATGGACTGGATCAGCGGCCTCCCCGACGAAATCCTCCACCACATCATGTCCTTCCTGAACGCGCGCCAGGCCGTGCAGACGTGCGTGCTGTCCCGGCGGTGGAGCGATCTCTGGCGCACCGTGCCCTGCATCAACGCCGACTTCAATGAGTTTGATTTCATTGATTACCAAGGGGACGATGAGGACTACAACGACGAGGTGGCGTTCAAGAGGTTCGTTAACCGGATGTTGGAGCTCCGCGATCCTGCCACCATGATGGACAAATTCTGGCTCAAGTACAAAATATCAGACGGGTACAATGAATACAAGGATTCCAATGTAGATGCCAACAGGTGGATTAGCCATGCTTTGCAAAAGCAGGCCAGGGTTATGGAGGTTGTCGTGTTCTCCTTTCCATTGGAGCTCGATCACTCGGTGTTCACTTCATGCTACCTGAGAAAAATTGGGTTCTCCTGTGTTTCTTTACACCAAGGTTTCTTCAAGCAACTTGACGCCGGCTGTCCAGAATTGGAAGAACTCTTCTTACATGATTGCACTATTGCGGATGAGGAGATCTTCTCCCAGTCACTGAAGGTTTTGACAATCGACGACACTGAATTCTCCAAGGCGAACAAGGCATATATTTCTATTCCAAGTGTTACTTCTCTCACCTTGTCTAGTCCTGAGAATTCCACACCTATGCTAAAGGACATGGCATTACTAACGACCACATCAGTATCAGTTAAATTTTATACATTCAGTTATGGTTTTGATGCTAATGATCTCCGCCAGTGTCTCTGGAGCCTTTCTGGTGTTACAAACTTGGAGTTGAATTATGAGGGTACAGAGGTATGGTTATTTGTATTACTTAGTGTATCCATCCACCTTGATTTAGGTATCAATATGAAAAAATTGAAACTTAAGCTTTTCTTCTCGTCATTTCATAATTGCAATGGTTTAGTAGCCTGAACCTGTAAAACTAACATCGCATAGCTAATTCATATGTTGTGAAACCATGATGTATTGATAATATGATGGATGTTATCAACACTTGATGCAATCTAGTTCATGTACTCCGGTCATTTGTGCATTATTCAACTAGCCCTGAAGTTTCTTAGTTCGAAGTTTGATCTAAAAATGAAACATGATCATTTCTCATGTAGGACTTTACATGTTCTAGTCTAGATGCAATATCAGGGTTGCCAACTGAATGCATTTTGTCCAATATCTGACAGACTATTTTACTTTAGTTGTACTTTTTGAAAGAGAGGGTTATTGGTGATTGTATGTCCTACACCTGCCCCAAGGCCAGATTTTTTATGGCTGCAAATACATGTGCATGCTATTTGTAAGATAGTGAAAGAAAAATATTGATTTGTATAGGCTGTCATTTTCGATTGTCCAATCTTTCATGTAATCTTTATATTTCAGGATTAATTGTATATTGCATTTTACATTTTAGACAGTATACTTGGTTGGGATGTGTAATGTGTTGGGTGTTACAACACACAGACATTATGCTAGCATAATTTTAATGTTAGGAGTCATTAAAAGACAACATACAAACAGAAAATTCTTCTGGGGAATTGTTGAATGTCCTACTGCTTCCTGATGATATATTTGTGTTGTTTTTTTTACTGGTTTTGGACTTCCATGGAAACCATCCTGACAGTGAGTTGCATGTGCTCGAGAGACTCTTGGTGAAAACAAACAAGTAGAACATTGTTTATTTTGGTCTTTTGTTGACATCAGTTCATTTTCTACTGTGATCTTTTGCCATCCATTATCTTGAAGCTCTCAATTTAGTTGATAAGTTTTGTGATTGAGGAAGTGGTGTTTTTGCAGCTGACGTTCGAAAACAATTTGCAATGGTGCCCAGAATTCATCAATGTTGTCAACCTGACTCTTGGTCAGTGGTGCCTGGATGCAAACTTCTATGCACTAATTGTCTTCCTTCAGAACTCAGCGAGACTAGAGAAGTTAACTCTGAATCTTGCGAAGGTAATTGCTTTCCTCAAATGTAATACAGATCCTACTCGATTGTTTCTATTTGCTCAAGAGGTTGTGCATTGGGAAATAACTTACTGTTTTTCGTGCTACGGTGCATTTGGAAAAAATCTCCAAGGATCGTTAGCGAGCTTATGGAAAGATCATTTACATGCGAGCACCTTAAGATTGTTGAAGTCAAATGCTTGGAGGATGATCCCCAGGTCATCAGTGTGCAAGATTTCTTTGCTAGTAATGGCATGGCCTCTGTTCAGTTTCATATCAAACACTGGGGCCAATACGAGGAAGAGGATGAGTTACCTGCATTTGTTCGGTATGAGGAGAGATGAAATGCCAAAGGATCTTTTGCATTTGTTTGTCATCCCATTGAAGAATCAACTCGCTTTCTGCTACATTCACTGGCTACAGTAGAGTTCCGAGGTCTTATTTTGCATTTTTGCTGGTCTGTAGTAATGGCATCCAATAACTTTGCTAGTTTTCATTCCACTCCTAATCTCTGATTACATTAGCAGTTGTTCAACCAAGGACCTATTTATCCCTTGTACAACAGAATTTCTTTCCATTCATCAACTATTTTTTGTTCAGTCTCTTCAATTTCGTTTTCATTTTACAAAAACATTCTTATGTCCATTAATTTTTTTCCCATCACGACGTGAGCAAGTACAGATCACAGCACCCCACCACACAAACTGCTCACTTAATTGGCTTTGCCAAGAATAATGTGCAACAATCACGATCAACGAATTAATCTTGATGGCGACGAAATCCAACAATTTGTGTTGAGGTTGCCACATTTTTAGTAAAACTATTGAAAAAAAAATCATGAGATGAAACGGAGGGAGTATTTCATAGCATCATAAGATGAAAAAAAAAACAGGGCAGAAATTTATAAGCGAACATTAGTATGATCCTAAATTAGCGATGCATCCATCTATGTCGGGAATTCCTACACCACCGCCGCCTTCGGCCGGCGACGACGTCACGCAGCTCCGTGCAGGTGCACTCCACCTTCGCGAGGTCCTCGCCGGCGAGCCTGCTCAGGATCTCCGCCGCCTGCAGCCAGGTCGGCCGGGAGCGGCATGAACCGCGGCGGCAACACAGCGTGCTGTTCTTCCAGCTCATGTCCGCCAAGAGGCGCCGGCCGGGCCAGCCCGCCGGCGAGCTGCGTCCAGAGGATGACGCCGCCCTGGTCGTTGGCCAGAGCGTGCGCCGTCGAGTCGAGGTCGCCGGAGAGGACCTCGTCGTTGGCCGGTTGCCGACTTGCCGTCGCCGGTGAGGTATCCGTAGAACATGCACGGCAAGGTTTCTTCCGTGCCCGCATAGCCTCAGCACGGCGGTCCCTCTGCCGGCCGCCACCGCGCCGGCGTCGATGGGAATGGCATCGTGCAGGTGCAGTGGATGCATTCTTGTTTGCGTTGTCGTATAGTTGATGAGTTCGTCAATTTAGTTTTTTTTTAATATAAAAGGAAACTATTTTCGCCTCTGTGATTGACTTTGATGAAGTGGTCGGTGAGAGCGAGGTGGAATGCCCTTATCATTTACAAACTCTTTTGGAAATTCATCCACGTTTACCAAATCCTTTCAGTTGATGCTACCACTTTGAGATTTTTATATAGGTATTTGCTAGATTTTTCGAATGCCTAGAAATTTGTAAATTTTCAGTCATCTTAAATATTAAAAACTAGCATGGTGGCCCGAGCAGATTGCGCGGCTAGCATCATTATATTTTCTCATATAAAAGCATATATATTTTCTCATTATATTATTCAAATATATTAAAATGACAACATAATTTTTTGCAATAACTTTACAAAACTACTAATGTGTAATATTCATATTGTATTTTATATACGTGTTAGTTATTAATTATTTTTAATATCAAATTTTAGTTATTTGTAAATTATATATATTCATATATGGACTCTAGACTCGTCTTTTAATATTTTTTTTAATTCCGAATTTTCTATAAATTGTATTTCTATATAGACTCTATACTCTTCTTCCAATATTATTTATTTTTATTTCTGAATTTTTATTATTTCTAATTGTATTTATATGTGGACTCTAAACTCATCTTTCAATATTCTTTAATTTTTTATTTTGAATTTCAGTAATTTCTAAATTATATTCCTATATTTACTTTAAACTCTTCTTCCCATGTTTTTCTTAATTTCGAATTTTATTTATTTGTAAATTATATTTTTATACGGACTCTAAACTCTACTTTTAATTTTATTATGTTTATTCCAAATATTAGTTAGTTTTAAATTCCTATATGGACTCTATACTCTACTTCTAATATTCCTTATTTTTTAATTCCGAATTTCTATTTTTTCTTAATTGTATTTCTATATGGACTCTATACTCTACTTCTAATATTCCTTATTTTTAATTCCAAATTTCTATTATTTCCTAATTGTATTTCCATATGGACTCTATACTCTACTTCTAATATTCCTTATTTTTAATTCCGAATTTCAGTTATTTCCCAATTGTATTTCTCCATGGACTCTATACACTTGGACTCTAGTCTCCTCTTCTAATATTCCTTATTTTTTAATTCCGAATTTCAGCTATTTTCTAAATTGTATTTCTATATGGACTCTACTTTTTCTTTTTATCCGATTAATGTGAGAATTTCTAGGCCATGAGAGCGAACGTGGAGGCTCCTTTTTCTATTCCTTTAATAATATAATAGATTGTTAGTTCATTTTATCTTCAACTTCTTTGTTATATACCGTTTTAGTTTATTTACTTTATCAAAGTTTTTTTTTTCATGTAATTTTATAAATTTTATGAATTTAATATTTAGATTAATTTTTTAGTTTCTATTTAAAAGAGAAGGGACTTTGTTTATAATAAGTAATAGGCGAGTGACGATAGCAACCATTTGATTGTCATCCAAAGAATAACAAGAGGTAGGGTCGGAAACGCCATGCGGCAATACAGACAAACTCTTGTTCACTACGGCCACAACATTAACAATAGGGAGTGGCGCCAAAGCTAAATTCTGGGAGTCTGCCTGGCTCCAGGGGGTGAGGCTTAAAGACCTAGCACCGTTGGTCTTCTCGACCTCTAGAAAAAAATAGAACATTGCAGCAGGCTATTCAATCAGATCAATGGCTACTCAACCTTAACCTGCCGGCTGAAATAGCCTGGACAACGAAACTAATAGACTAGCTCGTTAATGTCTTGAGTGTCATCCAAAGTATAAACCTCATAGATAACGAGGAGCTAGGACAAAATCATGTAGAGTACACAGCTTCATTGGCCTACAGGCTACAAGGCTCAACTCCTAGGCACAACAACTTCAAACTTTAATGTGCTGATCTAGAAGCCCTAGGCGCCTAGGAAGTGTAAGACCTTTGCCTAGCTGATGATCAAAAACAGAGTCTAGACTTCATATAGGCTAGCAAGCCAAGGGTAGCCGTCTGGCTCAAGAGACAGCCCTGCATCTCCTCGTGGGTTGCGGATATACAAGAAGAATCTGGAGGGAATTGGCTGTTTGAATGTCATATAACATGTTGAGCCCTACCTAATGGGAACTGGCCACGATAGTACATGAATGGTGAGAGGCAACCGGAAACATAAGAGGAGTGCCAAAGCAAGCAATTCACACCTTAATGCTACTGGTCTCCTGGGAGAATTGGAAAGAATGGAATCAAAGGACCTTCCAACACAGAGAGCTCTCGACGCCTAGCCTACTATCCAAGATCACAGAGAAAGCAAAAAACTTGGGCCCTTGCCGGCACAAGAAAACTCGTGGATTGGCTACCTTAGGAATCCCTACGGCATATAACTACTTTATCTATATACTTCGTTCAATTTATATTATAAGTTTTTTTTTTCTAAGTTAAACTTTTTCAAGTTTGACTAACCTTAAATAAAACATAGCAATATTTTCAACGTAAAACAAACATAACATCAAAATATATTGAACGAAAATAATTGTGTTATAAATGTTGCTATATATTTTATATAAATTTGATTAAATTTAAAGAAGTTTAATGGGAAAAAAGTCAAAATGATTTATAATATGAACTTATATACTCCCTCTTTCCACGTAAGTTACATTTATTACTTTTGTCACCAAGAATAAAGAGAAATTAACTCATCTTACATGTAACAAAAATGAAGTGTATGCACATATACAACCGATAAGTATTAAGTTGGCTCGTCGGGTTCTGATCAAACATTCAAGTTACCTCTCTATTTAAGTTTTAGATGTATATAAACTACGAATAGGAACAATTCATTTGAAAAAACTAAAATATGAAAAAGTTCTAGCTCTTAAGGATGGTGGGAGTAATATGAAACTTAGTTACTTTCGGACGAAGTGGATCAAGCTGCGTTCTACTCCCTCCGTTCCACAATATAAGGAATTTTAGGTTTTTGCTTGTAACGTTTGACCACTCGTCTTATTCAATTTTTTTTTGCAAATGTAAAAAACAAAAAGTTGTGCTTAAAGTACAGTAGATAATAAAGTAAGTGCAAAAAAAATCTAAATAAGATGAGTGGTTAAACGTTGTAAGAAAAACTCAAAATCCTTTATATTATGTATTATGGGACGGAGGGAGTATGTCTATTGTGCTCTGATGGGAAATAATTAGTTGGGGGGGGGGGGGGGTGGGAAACGAGGAGGCATCCCCGCTTTTTATTTCAGCGCCGCAAATACACAGAGATTGTTCGTCTTCTTCCTCTTCACAGCCCAAACCAATCGAGGTTTGCTTCTTCCTTTCTTCCAATCATCGTTTCTTGCATCTGATCTCTATTCTCTCCTCGATCGCCAGAGCTGCGGCGTTGTCGAATCTTGCTGACGGTTGATCTGCTGCTTGCTTGGTTTCTTGGTTTTCCCCTCTTTGCAGCTTCCACGCGCGCCACCTGTTCGACGAAAGGCGTCTGAGCGGGTGCTCAGCGCGTCGGTGGCCATGGAAGAGCCGCCTGGCAAGAAAGGTCCGGCCATGGACCCCGCGCAAGACTCGGGCAGGGACTGGCTCAGCGGCCTCCCCGAGGGGGTCCTCCACCGCATCATGTCGTTCCTGGACTCTCGCCAGGCCGTGCGGACGTGCGTGCTCTCGCGGCGCTGGCGCGACCTCTGGCGCTCCGTGCCCCGCGTCCACGCCGACATCTGCGATCTCATCCCGGACAGGATCATCGACGTCGAGGGAGAGAAGGCCAAGATGGTGGTGTTCAACAGCTTCGTCAACCGGCTGCTGGAGCGACGCGATCCCACCGCCTCAATAGAGACGTTCTTCTGCAGATGCTGCATACCAGACGAAGACGGCCATGGATCGGCAGACGCGAACAGGTGGATTTCCTACGGTTTGCAGAAGAACGCCTGGTTTCTGGAGGTTGTCATGCTGCTCAAACCATTGGAGCTCGATCCCTCGGTGTTCAGTTCAATCTACCTGAGAAGAATTGCCTTCGACAATGTTTTCATGGACCAAGGTTTCTTCAAGCAACTCCAGATGGGCTGTCCAGCATTGGAACGTTTCGACTTAGATGGTTGCATCGTTGCGGATGACGAGATCTCCTCCAACACACTGAAGGTTTTGACCTTCGATACTACTAAATTCTGCTATGAGTACAGGATATCTATTTCTACTCCGACAGTTACTACTTTGGGCCTGCGCAATACTATTGGCGGCAAGCCTGTACTGAAGGACGTGGCATCACTAGTGAGCGCATCAGTGGTACTTTATTGTGTGGAAACCAGCGATTTCGATGCTAATGATCTCCGCCACTATCTCTGGAGCTTTTCTCACGTTAAAGATTTGATTTTCAGTTATCAGGGGAAAAAGGTATGCTTACTGATCTTACATATTCCACCTTGTCTTATGCATCTTGACTTAGGTGTCAATGCGAAAAGGTGAAGTGTCTCTTCTTGATACTTCACAATTACATGACATTGTTTACCTGTCCCCTGCAAAACTAACTGTTGCTAACTAAATCTTATGTCGTGAAATCATGACATATCAATAGGATAACTGATGTTATATCAACCACTCATCTAATATAGTTCATGTACTCTGTTTCGTTTCTATATAAAACAACATGTTGATCACTTGACCTAAAGCATCTTAGTTGGCAGTTCGATTTCAGAATGGAACTGGAGTATTTGCTGTTTGATGATTGACATGTGTTTTGTGTGGCTGCAATATTTGGGTTGGAAACTGAAAATGCATCATGTCCAAAATCTGAGTAATGGTTTAACTTCAATTGACATTACTGCATATATATTTCTTTCCTGAGAGGAATACTACACATATATTTCAAAATTATGAGACATTCAAAGTCAACAAATGAATGGAAAAAATGCTTCAGCAATTTTTCAGTGTCTTACTCCTGCTGCTACCTCCTGATACATTTGCCTATTGTGTGTCGACTGGCTTAGCTAGTTAGCTACTCCCTCCGTCCCATTATAAGCGCAGTTGTGGGTTTCAGTGCCCAATTTTGACCATTTGTCTTATTTGAAATATTTTTATGATTAGTATTTTTATTGTTATTAGATGATAAAATATGAATAGTACTTTATGCATGACTTAATTTTTAAAATTTTTTCATAATTTTATCAAATAAGACGAATGGTCAAATTTGGGTACGGAAACTTATGGCTGCACTTATAATGGGACAGAAGGAGTACCCAACTTGCATGGAAAAAAGCCTGATAAATAATTCACACATGCTCTATAGACTTTACTTGGGACCAAACAAGTATGGCAATGTTTAATTTGGTTTTTGGCAGTCATAATATCTTTCTTCTTTCCTTGTGGTCTTTTACTATCCATTATGTTGAAGCTATATTGTACCTGTAGTGCAACCAGAATACTTGTCACATAATGTTCATGCTCTCAAGTTTTTCTTTGGCAAGTTTTGTGAAATTTTATCTATAATATGTCATTGCATTTATGTAGCCACATAATCACTCCAGTCTTGTGCAGTTGACAATTGAAAACAATTTGCAATGGTGTCCAAAGTTCTTCAATCTTGTCGGCTTGACTCTGGGCAAATGGTGTCTGAATGCAAACTTCTATGCACTAATTGTCTTCCTTCAGAACTCACCAAGATTGGAGAAACTGACCCTGATACTCGCAGAGGTAAAACAATTTGAAATGTATCATGCATATGTGAAAGCTTTTGCACGAGTGCACATGCCATTAGAGGATATAGCTTACCTGTTTTCCTTTCTGTAGGATAATTGGAAAACAACAGAAGTATTCATCGGTGATCTTGAAGAAAGATCGTTTACATGTGAGCACCTTACGAGTGTTGAAGTCAAATGCTGGGAGGATGATCCCCTGGTGAACGTGGTTGACTTCTTTGTTGGTAGTGGAATGTCTTCTGCTCAGATTCATATCGAATACGAAGACAATGATGAGGATCAATTTCATATTGAATCCGATAACATGGTTGGGTTTGAGCTTGAGGACGAGGACGAGGACGAGGACGAGGACGAGGACGAGGACGAGGACGAGGATGATGAGGACGAGGACGGGGATGAGGATGAGCAACGTTCACTTTTTCAATCTAAGGACGTATGAAACGTCAAAGGGGCACATTCCGTCCAAAAGATCGCTCTCTTCCGTCTTCCTCCTTTGATTCCAGTTGACTTCGAAAGCACAGAGACATGTTTACTGATCTTCTTTGGAGCTAGGACGTGAAGAATCATGTCTTTCGTTGCATATAAGTTCAGTCGTCTTTTGCTTGCTTGCTTCTGTGATATTCCAAGAACCAAGACTATGTGCTACATGTTTGAATACTTTATTAGGCCTTTATATATGTTTTGCAAAGACGTGATATTAAAATCCCATATCGTGCTTTCACTTCTTGGTTCCATTAATCGTTTTTTTTTCTATCACTGCCTACTGTCAGGATGTGACCATTTTGACTGGAAGAGATGCATCATTTGTTTTTGAATTGATCATTTCTTGCTTGATCTAGAAAGGAAGGCAATTAAGTAACACCGGCAATTCATGTTAGCATCTCCTTTCGCCTCATAAGTTGTTATATATTATATGTGTTGAACTTGTCCACTCATCACACCAATATAAACTTGTGAATAGGCCGAAAGTGCTATAGTGGATAATAGTATTGAGCCTCGTGGGTTGTCGATGGATGGCATGAGTTGTATTCAAGTAAATAAGTAAATCAACTAAAGATGAGAAAATAAAACGATATCTTTTTAAAATAATGGATAGAAATCTAGCCTCAACATCTACAATTGGATGTACATAACCAAATGTTAAGGTTATACAAATATTCTTGTACAAAACAAATTAATAAAAAAACAAAACCCTAGGTATTAACGTCCAACTTGTATTTCTATCAGGATGGGGTGAGATCATTCTGATTGTGGAAAGTATACACGGTTAATATTATTTTGAGTAAATTCATAAAACCTCAGGTATTATAATCTGAACTGTACAAAATCATAGGGGGTTTTGTGCGTTGCAAATAACCACAGGTAATTTTATTAGCTGTTTTTTTTCTTTGATATATCACGCATATGAGTGTCAGGGTTATGGATACCACATACCTAATAATAGTTGACTAAATCTCGGCAGGATCCACCATATACCATGTCTTATACGGAAACAATATTCGGATATGGATGGAGTTCCGCATAAGGAAAGATAACTAGAGTTCTACATGGAAACGACAAGGACTACTCGGATTGTATCCATATTGGTTTCTCTAGTTCTACTTAGACAAAGGGACACCTATGGGTATAAATACAAGTCCCCCTAGGAGGAGAGGGGACATGGAACAATATATCAAGACACAAGATCAACATACAAACCAACATACGCCAAGACAAGACTCCGGATATCGACTTCAGACATAGGCATGGCTAGTCCCCTACGGTGCCTATGGCTACCGTCAGAAAAGATATAGCGTTGTCTCTGATCTCGCCGGATGCGGATTCGACGAGGAAGACTACCCTGCTGTCGACTACGAGTCAGTACAACAGACCGCCAAGTCGACAACAGTTAGATAGGCTACCCCAAATATTATACTGGTGTGATTATGGTGAATAAGAGCAATACCAGCTTCGGCCAATAGGATGTAGGGTTATTAAATGTTGTAGTAATGTAAGTGAATTATTTTTTATTTTGCTACTAAGATAGATTGGTTAACATTGTGGTTTCGTGAAATCTTAGGACTAAAATACTCATGGTTATGTGACATATGCTAAAACTCGTGTGATTTTGTGCGATTTGAACTACAATACCCAAGGTTTTATGAAATTTACTCTATTATTTTTATTTCAAAACACACACCTCCAAATATAGACAAAATTACCATATTTTTCTCGCTGTCAATGGGTATGTCATCTACCATTGAAAAATATCAATGTGTACAACGCTTATCATTGAAAGAAAAAAAATTAACAGTAAATGTGAGCACACGCGTGAAGTTTATAATTTGAACCCGAGTGTGCATATTCCACCACAAAGGGACAGCTGAGCTACACACACATCGTAGATAAACATTAATTTGTTTCTAAATGGGGAAGCTAATATTTTCAGTAGTTTTTATTAATGTGATCTCCCTTCGAGTAAGTAAGTATATACTCCGTACTTTACATCCGTTACATAAATCCATATCAAATGTATTATACTCTCAAATAAGTCTCCCATATATTCCCACCGTTCCATATTATAAGCCGCTTCGACTTTTTCAAGTCAAACTTCTATTAAGAATAGTATCAAATTAATTTTATTAAATCTAGCATTAAACATATTTTGATAGTTTGTTTGTTTTGTGTTGAAAATATTATTATATTTTTTTTAGAAAACTTGGTCAGATATAAAGAAGTTTGATTTTTAAAAAATATCAAAACGACTTATAGATTATAATATGAAACCTCGTTAGTAGATAAAAGTGCAGCCATTTCACTGATTTTTTTTTTCCTACAGCATAACTAAACTCATTTTGTAGCAGCACACATACTGTACAAAATCAATCTGAACCGTCCGATCGTGCATCGACGGCCTAAAACCACCTTGAAGCCATTTATATCCTTAACCCATCAACTTCTCTTCTTTTGCCTTGAAGTTGAAGCAGAGCAGACATCCTCCTCCCATTCATTCTTCCCGTGGGTGCGTTTCCGGTTCCGAGGCGACCACCAAACCAATCGAGGTTTTGCTTCTCCCTTTCTTCCAATCCATTCTTGGTTCTCCTCCCCCTTGATCGCTGGAGCTTTCACCCATCGATTTCTGCTCGAATCTTGCGCTACGTTGCCCAATCTTTTTTTTGCTCATAGTTGAGCTGCTGCGGATTCATGGCTTGTTCGTTTCTTGCATCCTTTCTTGTTCGATCGCTGGATTTTACTTTGAAATAAACATTTTTTGATCCAATCTTGCACTAGGACATCAAATCTTGCTTACGGTTGAGCTCTGGATCCACGGCTTGTTGATTCTTGGTGTCCCTCATTTCTGCAGTTTCGACGCACGCCACCTGTTCGACGAAAGGCCTCTGCGTGCTCGGCCGCCATGGAAGGATCGCCTGGCAAGCGCGTGCAGCCCACGTCCCCGGGGAGCGCCCCCTGTACTGACAGGCTCAGCGACCTCCCTGAAGGAGTCCTCCACCACATCATGTCCTTCCTCACCTCGCGCCAGGCAGTGTAGACGTGCGTGCTGTCCAAGCGGTGGTGCTACCTCTGGCGCTCCGTGCCCTGCATCAACGCCGATTACAAGCAGTTCGAGGTGACGCATTCTGAAGCGGGAGACGGTGAGGCGCCGGCGCTGTTCAAGAGATTTGTCAACCGGCTGCTGGAACTCCGCGACCCAGTCGCCTCTCTGGACAAGTTCTGTCTCCGGTATTCCATATCTTATGACAACGACGATGACACTGACCCGCAAGATGCAGTCGCGAATAGGTGGATCAGCCATGCTTTTCAGAAGAAGGCCCGGGTTGTAGAGGTTTATGTTGACCTCGTCTACGCTGACCTCTTTCCGTTGGCGATTAATCACTCTGTGTTTACTTCAAGCTGAAATTAATCTGAACCGTTGATCGTATTTAATCATATGGTTGAGATCGAGTTCTACTCCCACCAGATTTTATGGGAGTAGAAATATGGAGGGATATATTTGTCCAGAGGTAATAATTCGCGTAGGGGTATTATCGTAATTTGTCTTTATCTAACTCTTCACCCTCTCTATCCTATCCTAATCGACGCCATTCTTCTCCCTCTCCGCCTCTGTCGCCTCCCCCAGGCCTCGCCGTCTTCTCCGCCCCCTCCATCGCCGTCCGTATCCCCCACCGTCGCTGCCTTGTCCGCCTCCTCCGTCGCCGTCCGTCTCCTCCGCCCGCGTCGCCTTCTCCGGCCCCCTCCGTCGCTGTCCGCCTCCCCGCCCTCGCCGCCTCCGTCGCCGTCTGTCTCCCCCACCCTTGCCGCCTTTCCCGCCCCCTCCGTCGCCGTCCGTCGGCCCCGCCCTCTCCACCTCCGGCGCCGTCTGCGTCTCCTCCCCCTTCGGCGCCCTTGCCTCCCCCGCCATCTTCCTACCCTGCCCTCGCCGCCTCCTTCGATGCCATTCTCGGCCTCTCGTTCACCTCCATCGTCGCCTCCATCGCCCGTCCATCTCCCTCTCCGCGTCATCGCCTCCAGCGCCCTCGCGGCCCTTTGCCCCATCCGCCTCCTCTACCTCCAGCGACCTGTGGCGGCTGCGGCGTACGTGCTCGGCGCCTCGGCAAGGACGGCGGATCCCCACGATGTGCTGCTTGTATGGCAGTCCGGCGGAGGAGAGGCTGATGATGCAACGTCGCCCTCATCTTGATGTTGCCGTTGATTGTTCATCCCATCTCTTCGGCTGCTACTGGTTCGAGAACAGGTAACGTCCTGTCCCATTTTCTCCCATCACTTCCTGATAAATGATAATGCTGTAGGATCACTATTAGATCCTCCAAAACTAGCAGCCTGACGCGAGCAAAATTCAGTTTTTACACCAAGTACTTCATAAGATTTCTACTGAGGTTGTTGTCCCAACTATACAAATTTGCAATGTGTCTGACAAATGTTATCAAATCACCACATAGATAATTCTTCTGTGACCATTAGCGAGAGATGATTTGCGCTTGTGTTTCATTCTATTTTAGTTGATGAGCAGCCGACAGCGGTTTAAATGGTTTTGATTTTGCTTCAGTAAAATTCTAGTACTAATTCTGGAGTTCTCTTTACTTCGTAAATTACACACAGATCGATTTTTATTTGATTCGTTGCTTGCAGAAATAGTTCCACTCCCTGTGCTACATCACATAAGTTAAATTTCAGAAGATACTACTAGTTTATAGTGGTTACGGCCAACATAGAACAGTTAGGTCCATAATTTTGTAAGGCTCTGCAGATCATTTTATTTTGGAGGCTTTCCAATATGTATAATTTTCTTTTCATTTTTTCAGCCATGCAGTGGAGCTCCAATGGTGAGTTTGCCTTTCATTGTCTTGTCGGAGATTGCACGTTGGAATTACTGGCAAAAGTCATGCTTCTTGCATTCAAGAGTTGTATCCTGTTCTGCGAGTATGATCTAGCAGCATGGTATGGGGCTGATATTTTATAAAGGACAACGACCAATGTCTGAATTGAAATATATATATTTTGTAATCGCCATAATTTAATGTCTATCACAGAAGCAGTAATATACTCCCTTGCGATATATCCCACGTGGTTTTCTTTGGTAGATAGTGTTCGTGTTTTAAGACAAATGAATAGACAAAGATGATATATATTTGCACTTGGGAGTTGCCGTGGATGGTTACTGCAAGATGCTTTAATTTTGTCCATGTCGCGAGGGGTCAATCCCCAGTACCACACCACTTCTTTTTTTCAATCATCTAACATAACTGCAACTATCTTTTTTATCTTCACCAAACAGAAATTAATCTGCAATCACCACGGTTAATATATCCTGAAACTTGGCTTGATAGAGCTTTATTTTTTGCTAATTACACCCCCTGACCTCCACATTTACATGCATATCACTTAAGAAGTATATAATCATCTGAACAAAGTCTCTCATACAACAAAATAAAAAGCTGAAGAAACGTCAGTGGTCCATCCCCAACCTTCAATTGTGTTGATGCTTCTTACACACGCTCCCTCTCATAGCTCCGGCTTGAGGATTACTTCGCAAGTTGCAAACATGTTCAGGAAAGTGAACAATTCTATGATACAAGTGAATCTGACAGTCGCGGCTGCTTTAAAATCTCATCTCATAATGAAAATACTCTAGCAGTTAAAGAATATATATCATGATGATTTATGAGAATGCTTGTGGACATGCATGGACAAATTAGTAAATCGACCCGGTCCGAATGGTCCAGGACTTAATATTTTATTTGTCCAAAATAAACCGTTCTGCTATATTCTATGCACCATCGACTTGAAAACCATATTTTTTTTAAAATTGACCGGTCCGGACTGAAGAAGTAATCCCCTAGAGAACACACCTGTTACTTTCCCTGCATACACAATCATCCTGGAGGTAGTGCCTAAAAATATTGTGCAATTTGTAAACATCTCCACAAGACAGGACAGGACCCTACTTTCTGACTGATGTTCCAACGCAAGCCGTAGTTCTCATAAACAAAGTTACTGAAGTTATTTGGATTAGAGATGTAACAACTGCACAGATAATATATGTACATGAACATGATAGACTAAGTGCTGAACATGAACAAAAACAGTTAATTAACTGATGCTAAAACAACAGCCTAGTTTGAACTAATCCTCTTCGAAATACTTCTCCCCAGCATCGTAGTTGGCTTCTTTTGACCAATGGTCGTCCAGCATCTCGTCATTATCGATCCGAGAGTAGTCCATATGCCCAAAGTCTTCACCGGACAGGAACTTCTGTTGCATCAAGCTGGTAAATTGTTCAAGCTGATCATCCATCTCTTCAGCAGATAATGTTTGCTTCGAAGTCCCTGCAGGGGATCCTCCAGTTTTGTTGGAGTCAACCATCTAAAATTACAGAGTTACAGCAAGGGCTCGGGGAAGAATTAATGGCTAAGTTGAATACAGGGCTATCTGAAATTGATCATATATTACATATACGAAGAAACAAACAATCTGATTTTCAGAATGCCTAGCAAATGATGATGCTAGGCCAGTTTGCTATTTGCCAAAATCTGAACTGTCCGCAGCAAGTGGTTTAGCCAAAAACTGGTAAAATAAAGACTAGTAATAATATATCCTGTTAAGGGCTCTGCAGACTTCTAATATAGTAAGACACAGTATTTAGATCACACTTCTGCCATTTACAGATGAACTCCAGAGAACAACCGCATAGATTCAAAAAAAAAAAATCAGTACAACCACCCAAAATAAGATTATGTTCGTTTCATCAACTGCATAAATTAATTGCCACTCTAAACTATTGAACAATTACTACAGTTTCCCCACAATGGCTGCAAATTTTGTATGTACGAAGGATTAAGTCATGCCCTAAGCAATTAATTCAATGTAGTAGTAGTAGTGATGAACTAGCTGGAAATGTTGGATGCTTTAACCAGTTGCCAAGGCAAGCATTTGCTAGAAAATATCAAAGATCAATTGCACAAGAAATGATTTAATTTGCTACCTTTGCTGAGGTTTAATGATGGACTTATATCAGTAACACATCAATTTCTGGAAACTGTTTTGAGTGGAATTTCAAGTGACAGGTGTATTTAATTTGCAGCTCAAGACCAATATTATTGTTCAGTTTTCTTTCAAAAAAAAATCATTGTTCAGTTTCATCTTTCATGCTTACAATTCAACATACAAAATCGATTTATTAGATCTCCAGTTTAACATCCGCAACTGTAGATTCTCTAGTATAGCTATAAGCTAGTATACACAGCCATTTGTATATGCATTTATAGAGGCAAATTTCAGACAAGTTCACCACTGAGGCAACGAGCAAATAGGCAGACTAGCATAGGCCACTCGCAGCGGACAGAGTGGGCGCAGGAGACCAGGATGCCGGCATGGAATAGAGGAGAGGAAGGGGAACAGATACAGGTGTGGGGTGGGAGGAGTGGCCACCTGAGGATTTTGCCGCACCGAGCCGCTGGCAGCGCCGCCGGAGATTTTCGCCTGATGCGACGCGCTGCACCGCCGGGCACCGGATGCGATGCGCCTGGCCGCCGGGCACCTCCGTGGCACCTGATGAGACGCGCCGGAGGGAGCGGAGACGGCGGCAAGGGCGGGGAGGGCGGGGGAGGTGGACGGCGACGGAGGGGAGCGGAAAAGGCGACGCGGGCGGAGGAGACGGACGGCGACTGAGGAGGTGGACAAGGTGGCGACGACGAGCGATACGGACGGCGACGGAGGCAAGGCGGCGAGTCCGGGGGAGGAATAGCGCGACGGAGTCCACACCTGCGATGCGAACCGAAGATACCAACCGATGCGAACCCAAGAAAACATCCCATTCCAAAATTACCCCTAAGGCCTCGTTTGGCTGCTTGTGTTTTGGTGTGGAACAGGCCCCAAACCCACCCTTCCGTGGAATGCAGCCCACGCCTGGATCAATTCCCACATCTGGCCCAAATGTGAATTTGGATGTTCGTGTATTGCTGTGTATTGCGGCTCGATCCATGCCGACCCACGGGTGAGAGAATAATCCTCACCCGAGGCCTGGAACTCTGTCACGCCCAGAAATTTAACCCAAATTTCCAGACTATTTTGCGTATTAAATCCCTGTCCAGGACCAGCCAGGGTACACAAAACGACAAGTAATATACAGTTCCAAACGTAAATAAAGCGTAAAATACTTACGGAAGAGGCACTTAGTCCTCACACCGAAACAAAAGCAGCAGCAGCGGAAAAAGGCGATCCTAGCGGGGCTTCAGCTCCACTCCACAGGCAAAACTCAACTGGGGTCTGAGCCTTGGTCTTCCAACTTCATCTTCAGCTCAGAAGCACTACACTTCTGAAAAGGGGGAATAATAGCAAGACTGAGTACAACCACCGTACTCAGCAAGCCACACCAACGATGCAGATGTGCAAGGGGATACAAGGATGGTTTGTGGCTATTTGCATAAAGGCGGTTGTAAAACATTTTATTGAGCA